ATGTGTCATGCACTTCAATCACGTGAAAAGGTTATGCCATAATCTGTCTAAGTTGGTACTTGCAAACACTAACAAGTTCTAGTGTTCTATATTCACCAAAGTATTTGATCAAAATAATATCTTTGAACCAAACCTAGTTTTACTAATATAACCTAAACAAGCTCTTATAATTAGATTGAAAAAACGCATTATAATTAATGTGAATGTTCCCAACAATATTCAATATTTCTCATAAGCTCGGAAACGTAAAAACACGCAATTGCAGATTACAACAAAGTTAATGCCACCATAGAACCAATTTGATTCTTGTACTTTACTTTCAGTTCATAAAACAATTACGAAATCCATAAATTGAATAACGAGAATGAAGTAAGCCTAATTCTAGTGGCCAACATGACCATGATTAAATCAAACATCATATTAAAACGAAACTACAATTGCTAGATATAATCATGAACATAACCTCAAATCACATGATTAAAAGCATAAACACAATCGTACTACAAAATCAGAAAAGGAAAGGCTTTTGTCGGACATGGCTTAAGCTTGCATCCAAAGTCTAGAAAGTAGAAATGACAAGATTAATCAGTCTTACAAATGAAATTTAAATGTTTCCACAATGATCTTCTCAATTTAAAAATCACCCCTTGGTCGCCTAGAATGAGAGATAAAGTTTGGAATGGCTGAAAATCTTGAATTAGGTCGTAAAAGAAAACTGGTAAAAGGCATGTATGCTTTTGACACGACCTCGTGTCAGATGTAACTAGTTTGACATGATATTGTGTGGCTCCAAAGTGCATTCCCTTATTTTGATCGGTTTCGAAGTTCATTGCTAAATATTACCCATTTTTGCCTTGACACAACCCCATTTCATATTTTTTTGGATGACACTAACAGTGTCATATTCCACACGACCCATATGATGATTAAAGCATAATCTCACACGACCCCGTCTCAGCACTTTTGTGATGAAAACTCAATTTCTTTTTTTAGCTCTGAAAATTATGCGACTTTGCTGCCAGACCTTTTTCACCATTCCAAATCACCTTTAATATCCAGAACCACTTAAAATGACATAAAAAAATGTGGAAATGAAGTGCGACAACATTATCCCAAAAAACAAGTAAAATGCACAGATTATTATGAATTGAAATGCAAAAGAGTGAATTAAACATGCTAAAAAGATGCATAAAATGCACCTAACAATGTACCAACGTTTCTTAGGAGCTCCAAAGGCTCGCTCGACATCCTTCCTAGCTCTCTCTTGATCCCTCTTACTTTTTTTCCTTCTAGAATCATTTGGACAGGAAAATGATTTAACAAACACAACATACTCATGTTAGATCCCCTCAAGAAGATAATAACCATACTAATATGACGTTTCATGTACTTGAAAAGAAGAATCTGGTGCCGATTCGTCATATATGTTGTTGAATATCGGTGAATGATTAAGAACATTAATGTCGTTAATCGAACCGGGAGAACCAAAAAAGGCATGCCACATCCATTGATCTTGTGACGCCACCGCTTCAAGTATGACTGTTGGGTGACCACGATTACCTCACGTAAATTTCCCATGGTGTGAGGCAGAGAAATTTTCCCATGCCTAATATAGACAATCTAAACTTCCTACTATTCCAAGAAAGTCATGTACGTTAGCATGATGGGCATGCAATTGCAGGATCTCGTTGCGTGTAGGCTTACGTAAATATTTTGGACCATAAATCTAAATCACATATTTTAAAAAATAGTGGAGACTATCTTGTGCATGCCATGTGCTAATTGACGAAGGTTGTGCATTTTTGTTGGGGAGTAAAACTGGGTGTATCTCTAGCACCGAAACGTTGTTGGAAATAACTACACTCCATCGTCAAATCTTTGACTATACGTTCATATAATGATTTGAACATCCTTGAAAAGTGACATGCTCGTCAAAGTAGTCTTGCATCAAACATTTGTGGGCATATTCACGGTTTCTCTGAATATATATTCGTGATCTCCATTGCAAAATTTCGGCTTCATCATTGCATATAGCGCTATACGTTTGTTGCACTATTTTAGTAACCCCGACAACAGCATCAAGCATAACTTGAAATTCTTCACAAGACGAAAATGACGACATATTCTTGTGATTTTGAGAGAAATAGATATAGAAAAATGTGGTAAAATAAGGGTTGTGAGGTTTCTTTATAGGTACAAACGAAAATAAATGATTTTTAAATATTTTGACCGTTTACAACATTAGGAAATAAGAAAGATGGTAAATAATAGAGAGGGAGTGCGGCAGTTTCTAACGGCATGATGCCAAACCACAATGGAGACAATAGGGTGGGGGGTTGTTCTTACTGTCCACCGTGGCAAACCACGGTCCTTACCATGCCCACACCGTCGAGCCTTAGGCACCTTCACACATTAATTTTAATTTTTAGATTTTATGTGTTTTTAGTTTTATTTTAAATAAAAATCTCACTATCAAAAAGTTACTTAAAACTTCTAGTTTTTCGAAGTTTTTAACTTTTAGTTTCTATTTGATTGATTTTAGACATTTAAAAGCTAACAATTATTTTTTAAACATTTATTCACAAATAAAAATTACAACTTTCATATTCCAGCTAACAACTATCAGTAATCAACATTTAGTTTTCAGTTACAACTATCAACTTGTTTTATTAAACACATACTTAATACTGTAATGGGTGAAACATTACAAGGTTGCATTTTTAGGTTTTACTAAAATATGATTTAGACAAATATGTCACACAATATATAATTACATGTTTCGATATAAATTCATATTAGTCTATTATCTAACTTTAAAAACTCCCACATTTTAAAGGCAAAATCAAGGAGGTGTGATATAATTAAATAGTGACCATTTTTTGAAACTATTACAAAATAATCATATGTGTTATAAAATATTTTTTTGCATAATTTCTTTTAACTTTATGAATTTTATATATAACTAAAAATTTTAATGACACTTTATAACTTATTACTATATATTTTGTTTAATTAACAACTTAATATCATAGGATTACATAGCTTTTTTCTTTTTATTTTATTTTAACCATTCCATATATAATGAATGGTCAGCATATTTTCATAAGTGGTACATCTAACCCGTTTTATTTTAATGATATTTTATTTTATCTCTTTAACTATAATTTATGTTTTAATATTTTTTATATCTTTACTAACTAAATTCTTTTTATTAAATATTTAATGACTTCTTATTTATAAAATATAAATTTTATAAAAATAACACAATATTTTCAATGTTTTTAATTTTATTTTGTAACTGTAACATAACATTTTTTTCGCATTTTACGTATATAAATCAAGAACTGATATAGTTGTATTTATATGTATTAAAATACGATTTGTGTTTAAAAATTGACTAGTTAAATAAAGGGTTTTTTTTAATATTTCAGATAAATAAGAATATATATATATATATATATATATATATATATATATATATATATAAATCATTTTATTACATTTAATAAAAAAAATTATTTTAGTACATCTCGCAACTCCTTGGCCTAAAATTTTACAAAGTTAATTACCGATAAATAGTAATCATTTATTTGAATGTATAACTATTGGAGATGTTTTTGTTGGAACTTTGATTATAGCCTATTGAGAAAGAAAAAACTTTGACTAGCTTTATAAGTCTTTGTCTCCATATATTCTTAAATGGATAAAGCAAAACAAAAAGACATTTGGGCTAGAATTGTGTTATTGAGCTCTAAAATTAGTCTTGAATTAAGCTTATCATTAAATATAGTTAATGGTCAAAAGATAGGCATTGGGGCTCTTGGGCTCTTCTTGACTAATTAATTAAATTTATATACACAAATTCCGAAATTGATTTTTTTAATTACAAAATCTGTTAATTGTTAATTAACTGATTGAAAGTTAATTAGACAGTTAATTTCGGTTTTGGAACAGATATGATGGTTGACAGTTTTTAACTACTATATGACAGATTATAAATAAATGATCAGTTGACAAATTAAAGGGTTGATCATATACACAATAACACCACTTTCTCTCACTTTCGTTTTTTCTGGAAAATCAACGAAGCATGAAGAATTTCGTCATGGTCAAGATTTAATCTTGATCAGATTGTTGTATTCTCTAGACAGATCCCTACCGGAAAAATTTCTGTCTTAGGACACTGCAAAACAGACCTCAATCTCTACTTATTTTCGTGATTATTGAAACTGTTGTAAACATCCAAACACAAGTTCTTCTGATTTATGAATTTTTGCATATTAATTTGATTTATTTTTGTTTTCAATTCCATATTTATTTACTTTTGTCGTAACAGTTCTAACTAAAAACCCAATATTTTTGCCAAATACTATCATATCTTTACAAAATTTCGTTAGATAAATTCATGAATTTCATCATTATTTCGTATTGAAGACCATTCATAAATTAATCTGGTAAAGGCAAAAGTATTTGTACAATTTATTTTACAATAAATAAACACTTTTCAATAATTTCCAAAAGATGATCGTACATTGATTATTTTAGTGATTATCACCTTTTAAATGTTCATTACAAAAATCGAAAGAAATGTGTAAATTGTAATTCAAGTGACCGATTTTCTTCTTAATAAAGCCGTTCCATAACCCTCGCTGCGTTGTCTCTCCTCTCTCTCTCCAACGAACTGTGTGAAAAAACGAGAGGAAACTGAGACAAAAAACCAACAGAAAGTAACAAAAAGAAGCAAATCCTCCAAAATCCATATCCATTCCTACAGTTTCCTTCACCACACAATTGATTCTGGTATATGCTTCATCTTCCATTCTTCTCCATCTAATTAAATTTTTATCTGAATTCTTGTCTCTTTGTCTCTCTACTTCCTCTTCTTCTACACTACCTATTTCAGATCTGTTTTCACTTAATCATGATTTCTTCTTGAAATTATTGCACAAACAGTGTCAATTGGTTGCGGCATTTTTCTCTTTGTTTGAGGCGTTTCTGGAATGGAGGACAGCGGTGGTGGTCGGAGCCGGCGTAACGAGTTGGATGAAGAAACTAACGCTCCACCTGCACCAGCTAGTTTAACGCTCGGTGGAATCCTGTCGATCAAGCAGACGCCGCCTTATCGGATCCAAGATCGTACTCTACTGGATCTTATACGCGATGATCAGACTTGTGGAAAAGAACCGAAGACGACGTGGAAGATGATTAGGGAGAAACTCCGGCTCAAACTCGCTGGTTCAGTCTGTACAACCACCGCCCCTACTCTCGCTTCTCTTGTCCCCATTACCACAGAGAGCAATCGTCTGTTGACGCGACATGGTTCGACTCAGCGGAACCCCACCGACGAGTCAACGTGGCAGTTGAATTCACCGCAGGTAACTAACTCTAGTAACATACTGGAAACGCAAACAGCCAGGGTACAAACTGACCCGCCGGTGGAGGAAAGCGAGCAAACCTCGACGGAGGAAAATCGGGGCGCCGGTGGAGGAGAACCGGCGGCGGCGAGGATGTCGTTGATGTCGCTGTTGGAAGTGGATGGATCTGCGTATTTGGATTATGAAGAAGAAAAAGAGGCGGAGGAGATGGAGGAGGAGGAGGTGGAAGAAGGCGGTGGTGGTGGAGGAGGATACAAGTACAACAACTGCTGCGTGTGCATGGTAAGACATAAGGGCGCAGCATTTATTCCCTGTGGGCACACTTTCTGCAGACTCTGTTCAAGGGAGCTTTTTGTTCAAAGGGCTAGTTGTCCATTATGCAACAATCTGATCTTGGAAATTCTTGATATCTTTTAGTTTAAAAAACAAAAACAAGAAAATTAAATTCTTGTTCCATGTGATTTTTTTTTTTTTTTACAATATCTCTAGTACATTTAGTCCAATTATGTAAAGCATTTATTTCGCACTGCTCAATGTTTATTTATTTAAGGACATTTTTAAACATATACAACAAATTGATTTTTTAAACAAAACATGTGATACTTCGCAAATTAAACCAAAAGATATAATATGTTAATTGTTGTTTATGAAGCCAGGTGAGATACGATTTTATAATTCATGATAGTTTAAATAGGTAAAAATTAAAGATTGTCATAGAAATTGATTAAAGTAAGAAATTATTATATAAATAAGAATTTAATGGGTTTTCAAGTTTGCGATCGTACAGAGCCTATGTCAATTGTCATAGGGGACTGAAATTTTAATTCGTCATAATTCAGTCACTAATCCTTTGTTAATCCATCACTAATCCGTCATTTTTTGTTCTAGCCATCACTAATCCGTTGTTAATCTACATACCTACCCTACGGGTTTCATATTATGAGATAATAGTGTTCGACTATTATGTTTTCCAATTAGTGATTTGCATGGTGATTTACTGAAATAAAAGTAAAAGGGTGGGGTGATAGTGGGTCCAACTGGACACCAGTTTTGTTCATTACTGCTTTTCAAGAAACAAAAATCCGTCTGAAAAGAATCCAAGAAACGGAATGTTCAATTTCAGTTTAGTTAAAAAATAAATATTACCAAACTTGTTTAAATAACTCTTAGAAAAACTAATGAAAACAATTTTAATTTCTTTTTAAGGTTTGACATTTTCAATTGTACAAAAAATAAAGAATAAATTCAACCGGCCTGACAGAATTTGAAAAACAAACCATGGTCCAAATATTCCTTTTACTTAATCCATCTATAATTTATTATTTAATCTTGTCTTTTATAAAGGCATCCTCGTCATCATGATTATTATTGTCTTTTATGATCATTAGGAAGCATCATTATGGATTAAATGTCGCGTTGGTGGATTAGTAGATTTTTTTGTTTATTTTTATAGAAGAATAATAAATAAGTGATATGTTAAGGGGAAAAAAGTTACCAAAAAGAATTTTCTTGTTGTTGATGCTTTGTTATCTTAAGGGTGTTTGGCTAGTGGTAAAACAACTTATTAGCTTATTAACGGTTCCACACCACTATCAGTTAAAAAAATGTTTGGATGAAAAAAAAAACTTATTCCGATGCGGAATCTCTAATAAGTCATTTTTTTATAAGTTACTCAACATTTACTTATTAACTTATAAGCTAATAAACTAATAAGTTATAAAATAATAAGCAATAAGCATTTTTGTCAAACACCCCCTTAGATTAACTTCTTCCGCTCACACTTACATAGATGATATCAATTGCTCACACAGGTGTACCTCTCCTTTTTATATTTGTAATTTATAAATTTTCTAGTTTAGTATCTTGCTTGTCGTGTGGCTATTAACTAAAAAATTCTTACTGCCTCCAAAATACATGAGATGAGCATCCAAAATACATGAGATGAGCACCATGTCTAGAGTTATAAATGAGAACAAATGAACATGAATTGTTACACACAGTTTTTTTCTCATATTCATTCGTTTAATAAATTATTTTGTTCAAGTTTGTTCGTCTATATTCGTTAAGGTGCCAAACAAACATAAACAAACGAATATAAAAGCATAAATAAACATAAACATTCAAATTAGAATAAAAATTTGACCGGTAACACTTTGGAATTTGGATATGTTGATTTTATTTAGCAGTGCCCCTTTTGATATTTTTACGGAATTTAGACATTATAAAACTAAAACCATTCTTACAACTCCATTTTTCCTCCCAACAATTCTATAATATTATCTATGTTATGACAGAAGTATACAATCAACAATATAACATAAACAAAACAAACGAAATTGAATGAATATATAATACAATAGTTGATGAACAAGGAAAACATACTTGAATGTTGTTTACAAAAGATTACAACCACGAGTTTTTATAGAGATTGAGGTCTACTATGCAGTGTCCTAAGACTGAAACACAAACTCTTTTTTATAGAGATTAAGGCCTACATTCAAGATATACTTTACGTGACTTTTGAACATTCATTGAGGAGTGTAGGTTTTTTCGTGCACAAATTACTCACGTATGACTTGATTATATGTTTTAACAACTAAAAATGTTTGGTTATTTATTTATTTTAGTATAATCTCATATGAAACCTTATATTGTAGACATGGTGAATGTGTCACTTATTTTCTACTGAAATAACACATTAAAAGGAAGTAACCGACATCTGCGATGAGTGTGTCACTTATGTTGAGAGTTTTTCGATCACCTTGAAATTAAGGGGATGAAAATTCTGGTGATTGGACATAGCAAAATGAGGTAAATGACAATTATGATAAGGATGGTCGAGACTGTTAGTGACTAGTGTTGATGGAGTGAGGAGAAGAGAAGGAAGTGAGAAGAGAGTTTGAGGTTTGAGAATGAGTTGATACTTTTGGAGAACACACCAACTATAAAAGAACACAAAAATAAATTTTAGGAAGTGGAATCATATATGTATGTATCTAGGTTATGCGATATGGTGTGAGGTATTTGTTGTAGGATGTGTCATGTGTTTTTTTAATTTTCTTCTACACAGTTGATACCGGTTTTTGCTGAGAGTGGTTGGGGGTGTTGTAGACTACGATGGTGTTTGTTTTTCGTTTATAAGCTCTTTTAAACTCTTCTAAGCTTTTATGTTCGTGGGCGAGAAAACGTTTTAGCTTGCAGACTATTTGTTTTTTTGAAGATTATAGACCTAAAAAGGTCTGCACGTGGAGACATTATTGCATGCATCACATCCTCCTATTATACCTTACATTCGAGTGAGGGAAAGGGTGTTCTTGTATATGTCGTGATTTGTATTTTTTCGTTTACTAATTATTTCTCTTTGTATATGACATGATCAACATGCCATATATCTTTTATTGAAGCAACATCTCTATAACGTTCCAATTTTCGAAACAATTTTCATTTAAGATCAAAAGCATTTGTTCCATTTCCATTCTCAAAGATCTAATAAAAACCATTTGTTTCAAAACAATAAATCATAGTATAAAGATTGTAAATAAAAGGTGCAGAAGTCTCAAAACATATCCAACGATGCCATGCAATCACATTGTTCATTTCCCTTTGCTACCAGAACAACCTGCAACATTCAACTTAAAACCATAAGCACAAAACTTAGTGATTTCCACAATATGCCACATATAATACAAAATAATGAGCCTAACCTAACGGGTCAAACCCAACCATGTGGGCCTAGCCCAATGGGTCCAACCCAACAAGCATCTAAGCATACAATCAACTAGCATACATTGACACTCGGTGAGAAGACTCACATGATCAAAGAGTTGAAGTCAACTACCCGAAGCCCAACGAATCAGCTAGACGAACTGCCTAATCAACCATAGGTTAACCCCCAGTCTATAGCTTAAAATCCCAAGTTTGACCAAAAGTCAAAGTGGTCAAAAGTCGACGATTGCGTTATGACCATCGACCCGTCGCGCCACGAACCACAACACGTCAAAATAGTCGTGAATCTGCTAGTCAGCACGCTGCGATACTCTAAACCATCGTGCTGCAACATCATGTCTAACATCTTCCTTCTTAAGTCCTTAATCCTTTCAACCAAGGGATAATCCTTTCAGATCTGGGTCTCCTAAAGATGTTAATGGATAAAGTTTCCAGGTCTAAGCCTCAAACTTATCAAATCTTGGACCCTAACTTTAATAAGGCCAAAACTCTTGCATAACACCAAGGGAATGCATGAACATCCATCTTTCCAACATCTAACAAGTCCAAAAGCACAAGAAATCGTTTCAAAGGTTCGGGAGTTCTTCCAACTCCAAGAACACAAAGAAAAATGGACAAAAAGGGACTAAAACACAAACCAACACTAGATCTATGGATGAAAGCACATAAAGCTTGGATCTTGAAACTTACAAAGGTCCAAAGATGATGTGAAGGCTGAAAATTCCAGATTGAAATGCTTCCAATATCAATCTTCCTCTTTTCTTCACTTAAAAGCATAAAAACAACATCAAGAATGAGGTTAGGAGAAAGGATGAGCTTCAAAGCTTCAAGAGAGGCTAGAGTTTCATTAGAGGTGCTCAAGGAGGCGATGGAGGCTACAAATGCTGAAACCCTAGATTTAATACCCTTAAATATTTCCAAATCCAGAGGCCTAAGGCTTAAGCCCATACAGTGGAATCGTGCCGTAAGAATCATAGGTCGCGCGACAACCCATGTTGATTCTTAAATCCTTAGCAAAATAATTGCATCAAGCCTTTCTCATTACTTCAACTTACCATGGACTTAAAAGATCAATAATCAAAGGAGGAAAACACAATCAGAACTCGATGTTACAATCTCTACTCTTCAAGGGAAGTAAGTGGAAGTATGATTGTATGCCTATCAACATCTTCTTCCCCATAGAACATGCTTATGAGAAATGGATGTAGATGTTCACTTTTAAATTGTCAATATTCTCTCCTCAAGCTTTTAAACTATAGTTATTTAGAAAACTCAAACATTCTTCAAGCATTTTAACTTTTACCTGTTAAATCAGTATATGAATAGATAAACATGCCAAGAATATCACATTATTACTATGGGAACTGACACAACAATTATATTATTTGTGTTTGCTTTTCCCAACGGGAAAATGACATAAAAGCCCTTAGGTTTTCACAAAAATATCGGTTTTACCCTTGGACGTGTTTTATGTCCAGTAAAGCCCGAAGTTTTGTTTAATTTGTTCATTTTTACCCTTGTAGCCGGTTTCCAGGTAACCTACCGGTTACCTAGGTTACCTAATGCCAGTAAAGCCCTTGAATTTTCAAAAATGTTCGGATTTACCCTTAAGTTTTTCAAAAATGTTCGGATTTACCCTTACCTTGATTGTTATTATTATTATTATTATTATTATTATTATTACATTTTTAATTGTATAAAAATATTTTTTACATACATTTTAAATGAATGAAAATTTTTCATACGTTTTTAATACATTTTTATACATATTATTATTATTATTATTAGTATTATTATTATTATTATTTTTAATACATTTTTAAATGTATAAAAATATTTTATACACACATTTTTAAAAATGGATTTATTTGTATTTAGTAGGTATAAGTATAAATATATATTTATTTCATATAAAAATATATTATATACATATAAATATAAAAATACATATTTATATGGTTTATATTATATAAAAGATATAACTATATGTATTTGTACATATTACCAAGTATAAATATGTATTTATTATCAAACATCATACTAAATAGATAAGCAAAATAAATATTCGTTAATTAAAAACATAACGTAACAATTATAAAACCCTCGTAATTAGAAAACCTCAATAAAAACACTCGATTACAGATAAGATTTAGTATAAAATTTGAAAAAACCTCTATTATTCAACTATATTAGGTTAATAGTGAGTAGATAACAATAAATGATCAACAAATAACACTCGTAAATGGAAAATACATAATATAATTAAAAAAACCCTCGACAAAAAGACTTGATCACTGTAAAAAATTAAGTATTATCAACTTAAAATCATTCATTAACTATTTTTATCTCAAAAATTGATAACGAAATGTCAAATATGAGTGTAAACTTCATTTATGTTTTGTTGTAAGTTCACAAAAAAAGATCACGAAATGCATCATTTTTTATATTGATCTGAAGCATTTGTTTTTGCAAAATCAGTCATTGACGACATTTTTTACTTTATCAAGCTTTTTCTGTTCGATTCAACAATTATAGATGAAGATTTAGGGTTTTCAAATGTATATAAATACTAAATACAAGTACATATATTTTTAAAAATATATTTATATTAGTAAAAATATTTTTATATTAGTAAAAATATTTTTATACATTTAAAAATGTGTGTATAAAATATTTTTATACATTTAAAAATGTATGTATAAAATATTTTTATATAATTAAAAATGTATTAATAATAATAATAATTATTATTATTATTATTATTATTATTATTATTAATAATAATAATAATAATAATAATAATAATAATAATAATAACAACAATCAATGTAAGGGTAAATCCGAACACTTTTGAAAAACTTAAGGGTAAATCTGAACATTTTTGAAAATTCAAGGGCTTTACTGGCATTAGGTAACCGGTAGGTTACCTGGAAACCGGCTACAAGGGTAAAAATGAACAAATTAAACAAAACTTCGGGCTTTACTGGACATAAAACATGTCCAAAGGTAAAACCGACATTTTTGTGAAAACTTAAGGGCTTTTATGTCATTTTCCATTTCCCAACCAAATTATTTTGGCCCTAAAAGAGATCAAATTGTCTATCATCCAAAAATAAGTGAATTATACATAAGATTAAATTACAAAACGCCTTATGAATAGTATATTATACATACTTTACAATTGTGCCACTATACTTTCTGAAGATTGTCGCTTCTGGTCCGTGTCTTTTACTAAACTGGTGTGTTAGGCAGAATTCTCCATCGGCTGTGGCTTGGGAGCTCGGCTTTGCCTAAGTACTAATCCTCTCTAATAACAGTCATTAAGGGAAAACAGTTAATAATATGAAAAAAAAAAATCCGATCCCATTGCTGGGGTTGTTTACTAGTTCGAATTAAATCAAGTCCTATAAGGCTGGAGGGAGTGGTGCCACACTCCCTCCTTTTACCGTACTTTTTTACAACACCCAAGGGGTGGAGAAATAGAGGAAGAGACAGAGAAAGAAGAGAGAGATAGAGAGATAGAGGAAGAGAGAGAGAAAGGGAGCGCTCCCAATTCTTGACGCACTCCCCAAACCGCACTTCGAAACCGCAGGGAGGGGGCGGTGTTTCAGTGCCACATCAGCTGAGACCGCACCCCACACCCTCCAGTCTAATAATAGTTTGGACTTTATTGCGTTACAAATTGTACATTGCACTAAATTTAAGGACTTACCTTATTAAATAAAGAAATACCAATATCCATGAGCTGCCATTATGAACATTTAAAGACACCCATGATCCATCATCCATCAAGAAATTAATTCAACTTTTTCCACTTTCCCTTTTTACCCTTGCAAACAAGAAGTAAACAAAGAGCGACTCCAATTTGGAGCCAGATGTTAACTGATTCTTTCAATAAACTGACTACGATGACTTGAATAATCATAAACAGATAATCAGGGATATACAGTTTATTGAAGTTACGAATTGTCAACTATTTTTATATTTATCTCGATAATCAATTTTCTTCCAGCTACTCATACTAACATGTAGGGGTGTGAGAAAATACCAAAACCAAATAGCCAAATCAAACTGAATGATGTTTTGGTTCAATTGATTTGGATTATTCAGTTTTCAGTTAATTTGGTTTGGTTAACCCAATAATTATACATATCTTATCCGGTTTGAGTTTTGTTAAATTTTCATTATTTTGGTTAAACTGAATAAGCTATTTAATTAAAATTAAAATTTATAATTTTTTTTCTATAAATTAATATTTTATATTTAAATTTTAAAATTAGTTTCTAAAAATCATTTTGAGCACATAGAGCCCAAATAGGACAATCTACTTATCTAGTTAGCTTCGAATTCCTCTGTTGTGCTATCTAAGCTCTATTTTTTTTTTAATTATAGAAAAAAATCATGACTTTCTTATTATTTTATTTGATTTAGTTTTTCTAATGTTCTTGTTAATTTGTTTTCACATTGTATTATTTGGTTTAACCGGTAAACAAAACTGAAAAAACCGAAAACAAATAACACAAAACAGATTGAACCGAACCTTATTTTGTTTGGTTATGGTTAATTTAGAAATGCTAAAAAACCGATTAAATGAAACCAAGTAAACCGAAAACCGATAAACCAAACAGAATAACACCCCTACTGACATGCTCTATTACGTGATGTATTGGTAAAGCAACTAATGATGTCCACCTGGAATAAAACATTGTATACATATGGGTTTTTTTTTTTTAATAAACTATCTTCCAAAACACAAATTTTACAATATTCATCGATTATAATGTGAAAGAAGTTAGGAGGGGAAAATGTAAATAGGTAAAGTGTTAATATCTTAATACATAAGCTAGGTTTTTTTTGGCTTAAGTCATTAAGCCATTATGTCCGGATTAAATCAAAAAGAAAAAAAAAACATTTATAGTTGTCTAGATTAAGTGTTCCAAATTCCAAGTTGATTCAAACATGGTAAAATGAACATAAACCAACAAAAACAATATACAAAATTACAATAAGAACACATAACTTTAACATTACAAGTTGTTCTAGAGACAAAAAAGTGGTAGAAGGATCTCAAAGACAAAAAAGATCCTAATAGATTCCAGTCATCTCAGATATTAAAAACAGGAGGAATCTACCAAATAAAACCACTCCATCAAGATACAAACACTACCCATCCATCGACTCCCTTAACTTTTGCTCTTTGTCTTTTTTTTTTTTTTTCTTTTAAACTAATAATTCTAGATGACACCATGAAAAGAAAGAGCAAATTACTAACAACAAGGGTTAATCATCCTTTGGTTCTCATGATTGTAATGCTACCTTTTCCTCCTTCTGTACGAATCTTGGTTTTACCAACAACAGGCTTCCCTGAGAAAGCTGAAGTTGGATATGATTTTTCAGGATTTTCATTTTCATTTTCATGGGATTTCTTTGATTTTGATGGTGGTGGAGTCAGTATTTTCTGGTTTATATCTTTTAGAGTAACTGCTCCTTGCATTCCACATGGTTTTACAAATGCAAATGGAAGCACAACCGATGAAGCTATCTTTGTTGTTCGTGTCTTAATAAAAGACTTTTTCCCTAAACATTACAAGAATTATTAGAAATAATGGTATTATTCATTTGCAAAAAGGATCACAACAACTTTTTTTAGGAATGAGACACACCTTTTAAGATGATATTTTTACGAGTAGGAGTGGGGATCTCTTCATCATTCTTAGATTGGGAATTCTTCGACTCTATAAACAAAAAAATAAGTGATTAGTGAAAATATTAAATTATGAAATGGTGAAAAGTTTCCATACCTGTAAGATCAATCTGAACAGATGGATTCCTGTTATGAACATTTTAAAATTAGCCAAATCTTTTTGGTAATTAATTAATGAAGTTTATATAAAAAAAACATACAAATCATCAGCGCATAAATGCATCTCTGTATCATTTATTAGACAATCATCTAGCCAACCCTCTGAAGATTGATCCAGACCCTCGCAACCAGATCCAGATGCAGGAGTATCATCTGAGAAACAATGCAAAAGTTTGCACAAATTAATACAATAATCTTTATCATATATTTGGATTATGGTTCTTATAAGAGTCAAACCTGTGAATCCATCAACCCATTGATTAATATCAGATAAAGCTCCATTCAAAGAAGCTTCCCTCTCCTGATCATAAAACAAAAGAAACCATTTTACAACCAGTGGTCAAAAGAAATTAAAAGATAAAACTTTATATTTTCTCCCATTGACATCAGTCAAATGCATGTCAAATACAGTACAACTTGTTATGTCTTTGTCTTGTCATGTGTAACAAACGGGGACTAAAAGAATATAAATTTATTTCATTTGACTTACAATAATTATTTGAAATGGGAATGTTTGACTAACCTTTGACTTTAGATATGTGGATGAGAAGTCCTTGCCACAAACAGGTATCATGTCCACATCCAAAATTTCATTGTCAAATTGCAGCATTCGACGTCTCTTTGCTTGTGAATAGGCTTCTCTATATGGCTCTTTTCCCTTGTTTAAGTTTTCTGCATTTTCATTCCTCATATTAAAAATATCACAAATTCAACAAATGCTAAAAACAGAAATAAAAAAAAAATGAATGTTTTTTTTCTTCTTTCAATGATATAGATTACCATTGTCTTGATAAGCCAAATCCTCAAAGGACTTTGCTGGGGTAGTTTCATTAAACACATAAGTAAGATCATCTTCATTCTCATTTGCATTGCTCCATAGGCTATTAGAAGCATCTGCTTACAACCATTTTAACAAATCATAAATAATAAATGTCAATAGCCTATATAGTATATATATCATGTTTAAGAAAGATAAAGAATTGTGTGTTGAGTCTCACTTGTTTGCAAACCGTAATCTTCACCTTCCCAATCCCACATTTCAGTGCTACAACTCAACAAAAAATAAAGAAAAACATCATCAATCCACAAAAGTATTAGACTAAGATTCATGGAATCAAACAAGATCCAAGTCCCAGATTCTTCCTCTAAAAGCCTAAACAACACAAAATTGGTAGAAGAAATTCATCTGCATTTTCCCCAAAGCACATAACAAACCATACAAACTCACAAACAAATGCATCTGAACTTGCAAGCAATAGAAGCAAAATCCCTAAGTTAGCAAACAAAATTAATAAAATCAAGCAAAATATAAGTTCTAAATCCTTCATTCAAATGCCCTAAACACCACAAAACTGACATAAAATCCATCTGTATTTTTCCCAATACACATAACTGCATTTGAAAACACCATCAAGCAATAAAAAATAGTAGAGTAAAATCCCTAAGCTAGCAAGCAAAATTAACGAAATCAAGCAAAACTCAAGTCCCAAATCCTTCATTTAAATGCCCTAAAACACCACAAAATTTGCATAATTTGTCTGCAGTTTACCCCAAACACATAAGAAATAGTATAAATTCACAACAAATGTATTATAAATGTAATCCCGCAAATAAAATACTGCAAGAAGCAGAACGTAGCGCTAGCACGTACTTGTCATTGTTGTTGTAGTCCATTTCGGTGAATAATCAAAACTGCAGGCAACTCAATGATATAATACAGTGCTACACTCTTCTTCCTGTGGTAATCATAAGCATAAGCGTGCTTTGAAATGATATGATCCTTAAAAGTTAAAAGTGTGAAAAACAATAGAAGAAGTTGTCGTCGGAATATGCGCAAATGGCGAGGGAAACCGCCGGCTTTCTCTGTCACTCGCACCACACTTCGCCCCCTTTTTTCCTTGTTTAATGGCTAATAATTTTCATTGTTTAACATAACAGCAAAATATTAATAATTAATAATAATAATAAATAAATGCGGGGAATTTTTTTTTTTTTTTGGGAAAGAGCCAACATTATAAAATATCACCCAAATAGCAAGACACTATCATATATACTTATAAAGCTAACATTTTTTCTTGAATCTCATGCATTTGAAACCCCCTTTTTTAACTTCCTTTCACAACATTCATTTGAAACTCCCATGACTTTTCAATTTCTTTACAATAATATTATAAATAAGTTAAATAATGTTCTATAAACAAGAAATGGTGTTTTATTACAATGTCTTCATCTCACATCGATGGTGAGAGTAAACAATAGAATGTTTCCTCATCTATAAATATGAAAGGTTGTGAAATGTTTCAAAGGGACCAAACCAAGATAACTTCCTCATGCCTACCTTTGTAGGATTTTGAAGGTATTATTTGGTGAGATTGTCTATATTGGCAAGTGTCCAGTTAACTTTTAGAATTCCAAAAATGGTTTTGAACTGAATTTTTTCAGGTTTAAACCGTGTTTCAGTTAGAAAAAAATATTATGTAATTGGGTATATTGAGTTGAACCGGAGCTGGATCAATTTGGACCGATAAAGGAATCATTTTCCTTTCACAACAAACATTTGAAACTCCCATGATTTTTTAAATTATTTCTAATAATATTATAAATAAGTTACATAATTTTATATAAATATAAAAAAGCATCTACCTAAACCTAAAATTATAATTGTTTGAAAAATCACTTTTATTCAAAAGCACGAAATATATACAAACCATGTTTCACTAGGAAAAAAAATATGTAGTTTGGTATATTTAGTTGAATCGGTGCGAGTTTGATCTATTTGGACCATAAAAGAAGCATTTTCCTTTCACTGCATACATTTGAAACTCCCATGATTTTTCAAATTGTTTCCAATGATATTTTAAAAAAGTTACATAATGTTATATAAATATAAAAAAACATCTACCTAAACATAAAATTATAATTGTTTGAAAATTCGATTTGATCAAAAGCACGAAATATATACTCAGATTATATTTTATAAATGAATTCTTTTTATAATGAACTTTTGAATCATGAAAATACATATAAACAAACTTTCTATATTAAGTACCTAACTGAATTTATGATTTTAGAATTAAACAAAAAGTTATTCAATAAAAACTTACTTTTTTGGATAGCCACTTACGAGATTATAGAAAAATGGAACTATTGAACAATAAAGAAAGGGTAAACAAGAGAAAGGGTGTTTTACTAAATAAGTTGAATAATGTTTTTATAAACAAGAAAATATGTTTTATTACAATGTCTTCATCCCATATCGATGGTGAGAGTAAACAAGAGAACGTTTCCTCTTCTATAAATAGGAAAGGTTGTGAAATGTTTCAAAGGAACCAAACCATGAGAACTTCCTTATGCCTACCTTTTTAGGATGTTGAGGGTATTCTTTGGTGAGATTGTCTTTATTGGCAACTGTCCATTTAAGTTTTAAAATCCTGAAAATGGTTTTGAACAAGATTTTTTTAGGTTCAGTTTCAGCTGAAAAACCGTTATGTAGTTTGGTATATTGAGTTGAATCGGTCTGAGTTTGATCAATTTGGACCGATAAAGGAAGCATTTTCCTTTCAGCACATACATTTGAAACTCCCATGATTTGTCAAATTGTTTCTAATAATATTATAAATAAGTTACCTAAACATAAAATTATAATTGTTTGGAAAATAAATTTGATTCAAAAACACAAAATATATACAAACCGGGTTTCAATAGAAAAAACGTTATGTAGTTTTGTATATTAAGCTGAATCGGTCCAAGTTTGATCAATTTGGACCGATAAATGAAGCATTTTCCTTTCACCACATACATTTGAAACTCCCATGATTATTCAAATTGTTTATAATAATATTATAAGTTACATAATGTTATATAAATATAAAAAAACTACCTAAACATAAAATTATAATTGTTTGAAAAACCACTTTGATTCAAAAACACGAAATATATACTCGATTATATTTTATAAATGAATTCATTTTATAATGACATTTTGAATCATGAAAATACATATAAATAAACTTTCTATATTAAGTACCTAACTAAATTTATGATTTTAGGAATTAACAAAAAGTTATTCAATAAAAACTTAATTTTTTTAAAGCAACTTACGAGATTACTGAAAATGAAACTATTGAACAATAAATTTTCTGGATAACATTTTATTTTTATTATTTAATATTTTATTTAACAAAATGAAATTATTGGCAAATAAAGAAATGAGTTTAATTAAAATGTCTTCATCCCACATTGATCGTGAGAGTAAACAAGAGAATGTATTCTCCTCTATAAATAGGAAAGGTTGTGAAATATTTCAAAGGGACTAAGCCATGAGATCTTCCTTGCATCTAACTTTGTAGGACGTTGAGTGTATTATTTAGTGAGATTGTCTTTGTCGACAAGTGACCAATTAAATTTCAGCATTTCGAAAATGATTTTGGACCGTATTTTTTAGATTTGGATCGAGTTAAATAAATATCCGAGTGTCTTCTGGCTGAGTTAGGCAAACTCGCTTCCATTGGAGGCCGAGTTTAAGTACCATGCCGAGTATTTGGTTGTGTTAGCCAAGCTTTACAACCCTGTATGTAATACAATTTAAAGTTTTAACCTTATAAAAGGCGTCACTATTATCATATGTTCTACATAATTATGGTAATATTTATGATACAAAACATTTTTTTTACTATTTAAGATAAAAAGTTGTCTCTATTATCATATGTTGTACAAAATGATAAAATTTAAGATAGATAAAAAGATGTCTCTATATTATCGTATTTTCTACATAATGATAATATTTAATATAAATGTTTTAATTTAATATGAAATTATTATTTAATAGATAACAATAACGATTTATTTATTTAATTTTTTTTTCTATTTTAACCATATAACTTTGTATATACAAAACATCTTCAAGATCCAACCTTATCTCTTATGATATAGTTCAACATAATAACAATACTAAAAATATTTTTTATATTTTTTATGAAATTATTATTTAGTTGTTAATAACAATGATTTAGTCATTTTTAATATAAAATATTTTTTTATATCCCACGCAACGCGCGGGCATTCGCCTAGTAGGAGATAAAAAGTAGCAAACAAACTATTACAAGCATTAAAAGAGTACTTCAAGTAGAAAAAGGGAAATCATACCATTCATCCCGGTTACAAACCATTCATCTACCTCTACATTTTACCCACAAATACACCAAAGCTTTGATGTCGTCCATCAATCTTGTAGGAGTAATGAAATTATTCTGGAATATACGTTTGTTTCTAGCTTTCCAAAGATTTCATATCATCCCGTAACAAATGGCAATTAACTCATCTCTTCTTTTTGGACATCTTCCCCAATTGGCAGCAAAACGAATAATCTCCTCAACATTTTAGAATCTGCACTTGTCAATACCACACCAACTGAAAATGGACTTTGTGACGGCTATCGCATAGGGACATTCCACTAATATATGATTTGCACATTCAATTCATCAATGCATGAGCTGCAGCTACAAGTGTCCAATTTAACGCCTCTTTGAGAGAGAGCCACGGCAGAGGGTATTCTTCCCAAAACAGCTCGCCAAATAAAAGTAGTCACTTTGATTGGAATGAGTTTACTCCATCTGATTTGAAACTGATGAGCGGGGGCATTGGGCATCTGCTCAATCTGATATCTTAGTAGGTCTACCCTGTATTTGCCATCAGGTACCAGGATACAAGAAAGTTGATCTCTACCATATTGCATCTGAATAGATGCTAAGTCATTAGCTATACAATTCAGATCATGTGATAACCCAACATTCGAAGGGCTAGATTTCCAGTTCCACGTGTTACCATCGTTATTTTTTCTCTCAGCTACCACACATGACTTCTTTTTATCAAGATCGTATAATCTTGGGTATTTTATTTTCAGTTTCTCATCACCTGTCCATACGTCATGCCAGAATTGTGTATTGTCCCCTGATTTGATTGTTTGCTTGAAAATGTCGTTGAAATTGATTCCCATCGCCTCAATGTCCTTTTTCACCCCAACAATATTATTCCACACTCCTGTTATTTTTTTTTTCTAAATAATCAAGCAGCTTGTTTTTCAGGTTGTGTAGTCCAGTAATGACTCTAACCCATAGTGAGGAGGGCTCAGATTTGAGTCGCCAGCACCATTTAATGATGAGAGCAACATTTAGTGCATGAATTAAGCCAACTACTAAGCCTCCAAGTTCCTTAGGAGCTATGATCTTCTCCCATGAAACCCAATTTATCTTGTTTTTCTCATCGTGACCACCCCATAAGAACTTTCTTCGAATTTTCTCAAGCGTTTCAATAACCCCAATAGGGGCTTTAAATAAGGACATATAGTATGTGGGTAAATTGCCTAATACAACCTTGATTAAAGTAAGTCGCCCTCCGAATGATAGGGTCTTGGATTTCCATCGAGAGAGTTTGGTACGAAATTTTGTCTGCGAATGATCCTTATTTTTTTTTGTCTATTTTATTTTTCTTTCCCTCATCAAAACTCATGGTGTGTATGGAAAGATTCTTTCACCTTTTTAATATATATATATATATATATATATATATATATATATATATATATATATATATATATATATATATATATATATATATATATATCATACAAATATTATACTCATTTTATAGGGAATTAAAAACCATGAATTTTGATATATTTTATAATTTTCCCTCACTCTTTTCCCTGTCGGGCCTTATTAATTTTATTTTTTAAATATGTTTTTTTATGTTAAATAATAATGTACTTTGATTTGTTAATTTAAAAAAAATACACTTTAATATTTATGAACCGTAAATTTGTAATGGTTGTATGTATTTTATTTATTCTACTAGCTGTGAGACTCGTGTATTGCACAGGTTGATTAAAATAAGGTTAAATATAAA